CCCAAGCAGGATTCTTAGCCGCAGATTTGAATCCTTTTGGCTCAGTGGATGCAAGAAGAGCAGAGAGAAGTCCAGATGAGCCCAACATACCAAGATTTGCTGGATGACGAGTCTTGAATATACCAGCTTTGGCGCGTGTGATCATAGGATGAGTGCCCAAAGAAGAGAAATCAACAGGAGGTTCAATAGAGGTTGAATTAGAAGTCGAGGGTGACAAAGTGGAACCTGCAAGAGAAGTATCAACCTGCACAGACTCATCTACAAGGTCAGAACAAATATCACACGGGGATGAACTGGATTGAGGAATGTGCGGTGATGAAGTGGTAGGGGGGGATGAATCAATATGATGAAGATGTGGTTCCAAGAAATTTGAAATAGGAATAGTGGAAAGAGGTTGGGCTTGGGAGCTAGGGATAGCAGGAAAGTGAGTTTCATCAAATTGAGCATGGCAGGTGATATATAGCTTAGTGGTGGCGGGATCAAGACAGCGGAACCCTTTATGAACAGGACTATAACCCAAAAAAATACAAGGAATGCTGCGGGGAGAAAGCTTGTTAGGCATATAATCACGCAAATAAGGATAAACACGACAACCAAAGGGATGAAAATTGTCATAATGTGGAGTGTAGCCATAAAGGAGTTCAAAGGGTGACTTACCTCCAAGAAGTGGAGTAGGCAACCGGTTGATAATATAAGCTGCAGTGCTGAAGGCGTCAACCCAAAAACGAGGAGAAAGATGAGAGTGAAAGAGAAGGGCCAAGCCAGTCTCAGTCACATGACGATGTTTTCTCTCAACACGACCATTTTGAGCAGGTGTATATGGACAAGAGAGTTGATGGTGGATGCCAGAATTACGTAAATGAGTTTTGAAACAAGTACTAGTAAATTCGGTACCACCATCGCTTTGAAATACCTTGATACGAGAAGAATATTGATTTTCCACAAATTTTTGAAATTGAAGAAAAATATCAAAAAAATCAGATTTAAATTTTAAAGGGTAAAACCAAGTGAATCGAGAATAATCATCAATAAAAATAGCATAATAAAGAAAACCCGAATTTGATTTGACGGGAGAAGGACCCCAAAGATCACAATGAATAAGATCTAACACATGAGACGACCTACGTTCATTGCGGGAATAAGGCAATCGATGGCTTTTCGCAAGCTGACAACTATTACATAATGATGGAGAAGGCAATAAAGACGTAAGAGAAAGATGACCTTTTTTATTTAAAAAAGAAATAACAGAATGATTCACATGACCCAGACGAGCATGCCATAAATCATATGAAGCACGTAAAGATTTGTTTTTAAGGGCTGAAATAAAAGCAGAGTTGCCGCGCTCCAGCACATATAGCCCTCCATCTCTTTTACCGGTTGCCACCACCCTTCCTGTTTGATGATTCTGGATAGTAATAAGATTATTAGTAAATGTAACGGAGAGAGGAAAATCAGACGTTAATTTACTTATGGAAAGAAGATTTTTAGTGAGGTGAGGGACAACCAAGACATCTAATAAGTGAATATTTGGAACAGGAGAAAGAGTACCGATGTGGGTAATGGGTAGGGATGCACCGTTTCCTACAATCACAGAGTCCTTACCCGTGTAATTTTTAGACTGATCCAGAATTGATGGGTCGGCAGTCATATGGGCCGAAGCTCCAGTGTCCAAAAACCAATCAGCAGCATCGGGTCCAGCAATAGAACATGACGTGTTAAAGGCTTCAGCAAGGTGAGCATGAGAAGAATCAGGTCGAACATACCGTTGGTTGCAGCGGTCAGCATAATGGCCCTCTTTGCGGCATATTTGGCAATGAGGTGGTCGACGACCCTGACTTGAGTGGGTTCGTCCTCGATTAGAAGAGTTGTTTTTGTGAGAATAAGAACGACCTCGCTGGTTGGTAAAGGAAGCAGGGTGACTTTCATGGGTGCGGCCACGATTAGTGGCTATGAATGCTGTAGGAGTGGAGTCAGAGGACTCAAGGGAGCGCTGGAACAACTCAAAACTTTCAGTTTTAGAGACTAGATCTGCAAAACAGGGGATAGGGGTGAGAGCCATCTGAGCAGTAGAAAAAGCTGAAAATTCGGTGCCGAGTCCACGAAGGAACCAATGCACTTTATCAATGTCCTCGACGGGTCTGCCAATGGCATGAAGTTGGTCACAAATTTTTTTGAAGGCACGGGCATACTCAGCAACAGGTTTTGTGCCACGTTTCATCAACTGCAAGTCATCCTTGAGTCTCAGTTCACGAGCTTTTGACTGATGGCTGTACGTAGTTTCCAACGCAAGCCAAACATCACGTGCAGTAGAGAGACCAACGACAACAGCCATGGCTTCCTCAGTGAGAGAGGAGAGCAGGAGACAGAGAAGTCGTTGATCGGCTGCTCTCCATGCCAAATATTTGGGGTTGAATGTTGAGGAGGTTTCTGGTTCAAAGCGAGGTGGTGGAACCATAGTTCCATCGACATAGCCCAGCATGTCTTGACTCTCAAGAAGAGGGAGAAGTTGGCTTTTCCAAAGAAGATAATTGGAGGAAGAAAGTTTGATGGTGATCATATGGATTAGAGTATTGAAAGGAAGAAGATGATAACAAGATTCGGAAGCCATAGAGAAGAAAGGATCAGGGTTGTTAAACCGAAAGGGCTCTGATACCATGTGAATGTTTGATTAATCCACCACACCCAAATGGTGGTGAGAGTTCTCTTATTTATAATCATTTACAGAATACAGAAATAAGGTAAATTACAAATAATAAGGAAATAGCGATAAAAGGAAAGAATAATAAATGAATACAATATATTTGCATTTAGTAAAAGAGAAAATATGGTAACCCGTAATGTAAGGCAAATATCTAGATATTTGCCTTAATGAACGGTCAACTATCCTTAACACTTTTTAAACAAATAAGATTTATTATATAGTTTAAAATAAAATGAAGTATTATTTTTTGTATACAGATGACAGTGATTTGCAACTATTATTGTAAATATTAGGGACGCATATAAAAAATTATTCAGTGTAGTTATAATTTTAAAATTTTAATTTTACACGTACCTTAATACAAATTTTGTTAAAATTAATATAAAAAAAATATCTAAATTAAAACTTTTTAATTTTACTTTAAGTACACAAATTTTAATCGAATCAACAAAAATTAAAAATCAATTGGTAAATGGGTTTGGTGGTATAAGCACCAAAAAAAGTAAGTGCGATTACGTTGCATTCCAGTGTTAGCAGCCTCTCCCACTTGAATTATACAATTTTTGTCTATATTGACAAATATATATATTTATTTATTTTTAAATAAAAATAAAATATATTAATATTACTAGAAATATATTTTGAAGTCGAAGGTATTAATAATTTTTTTTCTATAATTTTCTTTCAGGAGTATTTTTTAGATTTTTTTTTAAATTTAAAAAATTTACTTACACTTTAATTAAAATTTTATTTTACTTAATATTTTTTCCGTTCAACACTAAATTGAATTAAATGAACAATTGACTATTAAATTTCGAAAAGTAAGATATAAAACTGTAATAAAGATGTTAATTAAAGTCATTAATTATTCATTTAATTTAATTATATCTTTAATTAATATTATAATATAATAAAATACATAAAATAAATAAAAATAACATCAAAGGAGGGAAGAACAAAGAGCATAATATAATTTTATATTTTAACATTGGATTCGAGATTTAAGAATAAAATATAATGACGCAGGTCAATCATTGTTTGTAAGATTAAATGCAAAATTATATTAAAATTATAATTTTTTTTCTAATAAATACATATTTCATGTCATAAATTCATGGTTAATAAAGATATTATAAAATAATAATCATGAAAAATTTGTAACATAAAACATGTTCATAAATAAATTAATAATAATATATATTTATCTAAAATTTTCTATTTATTAGGATCGACTGATCATACAACAAGTACATGATTGATTTTGGATACTTCATCCTTTGACTTGCCATGTCGATGATTAGTTGACACTAACAACAACGATTTTTATTTAAAATTTATTGTTTTTAGTTCACGAACCAAATACACCCTCGATCATATGTGAGGTTTGAATCGATGAATTAGAGATGTTTGTTAAACCTATAAGGCTAGTGTCTTGTAGGGATCCGCCTCGTACAAGATGAGAAATCTCCGTTTAGATGAAGACTGAGGAGGGAGTGAAGAGAGATTTTTTATAGTTAGATAAATGAGGCCGAGACTATGGACATCGATTACATTTTCCGTTCCTGTTCATTAAACTCGTAGGGTTGGTGTCTTGTAGGGATTTGCTTCATACGAACGAGAAATCTCCGTTTAGATAAAGAAATGAGGAAGGAGTGGGGAGAGATTTCTTCCAGTTAAATAAATGTGACTGAGGCTGAGGACATTGATTATATTTTCGGTTCCCGTTCATTAAACCTGTAGGTTTGGTGTCTTGTAGGGATCTATTTCGCATGAGATGAGAAATCTCGGTTTACATAAATAAATGAGGAAGGAGTGGGGAGATATTTTTTCGATTAGATAAATGAGACTGAGACTGCGGACATAAATTATATTCCCCGTTCTCGTTCGTTAAACTTGTAGGCCAATGTCTTGTAGAGATCCACCTCGTACAAGAACGAGAAATCTGCGGTTAGATGAAGAAAGATGAGGGAGTGAGGAGAGGTTTCTTCTAGTTAGGTAAATGAGACCGAGATTGGGTACATGGATTTTATCCCTCATTCTCGTCTCCGTCCCGACCTAATTCTCTTCCTGATAGACATCTCTACCAGAAATAATTGATCGAAGCATAATTAAAATATTTAATAAATTAAAGTGATTAACCTAAAATGGATTAAATAGTTAATATTTATTATAAACTCAGCTATAGAAAAGATTGAAGAGAAACAATAACGGTGGAAGTGAGAGAGAGTTGGGCGCCATATAAATAGACGCCATTATTATTTAAGGGAAGCTGGATTGTCTTGTAGTTGAACAACTATTTAAGGCGTAGTTTTAAAATGCTTCAAATTCAGTCTTCAAGGGACCCGAAATACAGCGAAGTACAAAGAAGCAAAAGCAATCTTTCTCTCTCCATTTCTTTCTTCGATTGCCTTTGTGAACAGTAATTGCTTGAGGTTGAAACTTTTGGAGGTTTGTTCTGCTGAAGAATGCTTGGATTCTTAGGGTTTCACTTCCTCTGTTTTGAAGATTGACTTCATTTGAATTGAGAATTGCCGGAGCTTCGGTGTTTAATGGTGAGATTTTTTTATCTGTTTGCATATTTTCATTTCCTTGCGCGTGATTTTCATTTGTGATGTTTTTGGAAGCTGCTTCGAGAACTGTGTGAAACAGAGGCGAGTTCTTCGATTTTGGATACTGGATGTTTTCTTGGAATTCAAAGCTTCATCTCTTCTCATTTTAATGTATTCTGCATAGATTTTTGGCGGAACTTTTGCTTCATTCTCTTTGAAAATTTTGTCTGCGGTTCTTTTCTAGTTCGAGTTCGCGTTCGAGTTCGAGCTTTGCATTTCCATGTTATGATGAATTTTTTCATATCTGAACCTCTCGATACTTGATTTTCGGCAGTTTTCTGGTTTTTCTTCTTTCACGCTCTCCGTTCTATTTCCGTCTCTCCTACTTTCTCGTCTTTTTCTTCTTTTCACCTTTAATTCTCTATTACGGTTTGGTTCCTCATCAATACAATAAACGTCTCGATAGCGAATGGACGAAGATTATACGTGTTTGCTTAATTTTGATTTCTTCAGCTGTTGCTTGAGCTTGCCTGAGTTTCCTTTGATCGCAGTTTTTTAGAAGATTTTGCTCCTACTCTTTGAAGTTTCTTTGATTTTGTTACTTTCTCTGTAGGTTTCCAAATTTTGTGAAACTAATATTCTGTGATTTTCACATTTTCGTTTTTAAACTATGTATTTGCAGAATCGGTGCAAGAGGAGGAATCCGCCTTTCTGACCAAATCAATTGTGCCATTGCCGGATCCGCGTCTTGTTTATATATTCTTCTCGTTGTTAAAGAAACAAACGACAAAAATGTAGGTATCAGAAAAAAAGCTGCAAAAGGCAACTGTTGCGTCTCATGCTTTTCATGTGACTCTTGTATTCGTCTTGATTTAAGCTCTTAAATATTTCTTCATTTTAAATCCTTTGAACCGATTTTGTTAAGAATCTGCCAGAAGTTTGACTAATTGAGCACGGATTTATATTTTAAGGAGTTCTTGCAATAAATAATTTGATTTTCAGTCAAAAAGTAAAGACGAATGAGGACGAAGAACTATTGTTAGTATTAGAAAGGAAAGGACCCGCACTAAAATTTGTGGACAGTTTTAAGAGTGGCTTGTATTACTCGTGAATAACCTACTACTTGTGCTTTTTTAGTTGGCATTTATTAATTTAATTTCTGGCTTTCTTGCTGCCAACTGGCAACCACTCTTGTGAAATTTAGTTCTTTGCTTCACCGATTTCTCATCACCAGCTCATTTGTCGTCGTTTGATCTATACCTGGACTAATTTGATGAATTGATTACTTATTCCATATGAATGTATAAAGTGCGTAAAAGTTCAGACTAATGAATAACCTTTGATATTGTGTGGGCAGAAATTTCATATCTGGAGATATGGGATGCCTAGTATCAAAGCCGGCAGATTCTGGTGGAAACAGGCGGAGGCCGGGAAACATTGGGGAACTTTCTGTCTATGTTCCTGGTCTGCGCATTCCTAAACCAGTAGATTTCTCTCTGACACTTGGTGATCATCTATCCAAAAATCTAGTTGAACGTTTATCAGCTCTGAGAACTCGTATAGTTGTAATGGCTGGCCAGGAAGGTCCAACAATTACTAGAACGCGGAGAAAAACTGCTACTCAACATGGTTAGTAATAAAAATAATTTATCCTCTTTACAACTGTGTATTTTCTCTTTTTTATTTTCCTTTTGATTCACCAGATGGTACTGTTATCTTTAGGTGGTTCAACATTAGCTGATCTTCAGCAGGCTCTTGAAGATTATTTGCCCGTTCTTTTGGGATTAGTTAAAGATGGTAAGCCAGATTTTAGTTGATTCCGACTGATGTATATGTCTCACACGACAATGCCTAAGAATAGTGTTTGTGTGCTCCATATAGGAAACCAGCTTCAACACAAAGTACAATTTGCATGGATTAATCAGGAGGATGATTTGGAGGTTGTCGTGACAGAGGAATTACTTGATAATTTTTGTGCCTTCTTGTTAAAATAATTTCGTCTTTGAAATTTATATAGTTTCCTAAGGATTTCTGAAAAACAAACATAGAGGAGATTCTACTATTCTAATAATACTTAAATGTTTTTGCAGGAAACTGCCATGTCCAACGCTTGGTATGAGGTGTTATCAGTTTTGCACTTGATGGCAATGCTATCTTTATCACAGGCCAACCTATTACTTCTTCCTAGAACATCTCCTGATGGTTATCAACCAAAAGTATCAGAAGGTAATTTTCTGCAGAATGTTGTGAGATTGTATGATATGCTTAGGCCTATAGTTTTCTTTTTCTTAAGAAAAGATTCTATAACCGCATATGCACATATATATATATATATCAAATGGCCTGTTCAAGCATTGATAACTAATGCATAATGCATATTTTTTAATTTACCTAGATTTTGTTTTGGTTAACCTATATCATGCTATGTTGCAGACAAGAAGTACTTTTAACTAATGCATGATCATATGGCATATTAGTTACATTCATTTCCTATAAATCTCTCACATACATGCAAGGATTACTTACTAGAAAGTTAATTTAGATGACCATGGAATAATAATGTAGTGTGATTTTATTTTCTTAAATGAAAGAATTTTTCGTTTTCAGTAAAAGATGTAATTCGAGCTGAAAAGATGTAGAAAGGAACCTTATAGTTCACTATCTCTCATGCCTGCCACTGAGTGGTCTAAGTCTGCATTTAGTTGTATGTGAATTGATGTATGGTCACTACTGTCAAAATATGGGAATATTTCTGTGTATTAGGACATGGAATTTCTATTTAATGCAGACTGCTATTTCCAAGATAACAGGCTTTCTTCCTACTTCATTTAACTTTAAACTTTTATGTCCTTATTACTAAAAGGCGGTTTCTGTTTACCTGCAGAGAGTAGGCGAGCTTCAATTGACATATTTGTAAAGGCTGCAGGATATTTGGATTGTGCGGTTAGACATGTGCTTCCTCAGTTGCCTGCTGAATTCAGGTCTGTAGATTAATAGTTTTCATTATCTTAACATTGTTACCGTCCCTATTAATCTTTGATTTGATACAAACATATCTTATTAATAAACATATCGCGCAAGATTTAGTAGGTTAAGTATCCTCTAAACCGAAAGAGGCAGCAATTACATAACTGAGAGCCACCTTCACTACAAACTAGCAAAAGAACTCCATCATCAACTCTATTCTCAAAAGAACCTCTTGTTTCTTTCCAACTGAGAACCGATTGACCTTCAGTTTTTTTAGATGTTTGCATCTCCAGTTTTATTCTTACAATTGATCACGTGTACTACTGTAGGAGAAATCTACCGGTGGACCTTGCTGAAGGAGTTCTTCGAGGACTTTGCCTGCATGCACTTGGGCAGGTACTATGTTTAGAATGTCGTAACAATGGGCTGCCACATGATTAGATGCACTTTTCCTTTTTTCTTTTTTTGTTTGGGGGGGGGTATTGAGTCTGAAATGTTGAACCTTTTATCAAAATATATCCAATGTTCACTAAGAGAACTAGCTCGATCAACTTTGTTTCAATCTTTACCAAACAATTTAGTGTTCAAGAACCAAGCTGGATCGTGCTCAGTTTTTTCATTATATTAACTTATAAGTTATGCACTTTCCATTACTTCAACCTTTTTATCTGCTCATTACATTCCATTCCATGAACTCGGACATAGGGAGTTGATATTCAGTTAGGAATGGCTATTGATAGCACCAAAGCAACTCTTGCTGTGAAGCGAAGGCTTTCATGTGAGATGGTAAAATATTGGCAGCAAGTAAGTTTGTTCTTTAATTTATTACACTATTTGGTTAATAGATTACTATACAAGTAACTATTGAACACTGATCTCTATTGACCAAGTCAAGTGTCATTGATATGTGTTTCATCTTTTTAACTATAACGATCAAAAAGTGATTACTGTATCTGCATATTTTTCGGTACAAATCCCAGCATTGGTAATCTTCAGATTCAACGACACGTTAAACATTAACACATACAATCCTATCACGTTCATAGAGTTCATTTTAGTTCGTACATTGCGTCTTACTATGTACCTGTAACATTGAGATTTGCATTGAAACATTGAAACAAGCAATGATAAAAAAATTAAAATGATAGGATTCGTATTCAATAGTTTTCGGATACTTCGTGTCCACTTAGTATTCCGTTTCCAAGAATCTTAATTCCATGTAAACATTGAAACAAACAACCCCATAGGAACTTCACACATGCCGCATCCAAGTATGTTTGGATTTCGGTCGTCTACCATGGAAGTAGCCTGTGTCTATCATTGTTAGAGTCTTGTTATTTTCTTCCTTATAACTAAATGACTAGCTCCTTCATGCTACTGTAACACCAACATGAACATGAAGCGTTCTATCGGTCCGAAATGAAGAAAATACACAGGACCTGGCTCGATTTTTCTCCTGCATAAAATAGAGGCAAATTCTAGAATGCTGAAACATTTTGACCTATCAGATCATTTGCAAATGCATTCATTGGATCTTTACTAGAATTTATTTCCCAATTCATGTGGAAGCCATCTGGATGTTGGATTACTTTGTTCATGTATTGACCAATTTTATTTTCCTTAAATACTGATTTAGAATCGGTAGTGATGCGTTTAAAACTTTGTTCTCTATCTATTTGTTCAAATAGCAGCTCATATACTCTGCTTGTTTTTCAGGCCCAAGATAACATTATGAACCAACCCTTATCAAATGGTTGGGGAGAGAAGCACCGCCTCTTTGTTAAATGGAAATACATTGAAGCAAAGGTATGCTTTGATATTTATATCCCAACTTCACTTCGTTTTTTTTTTTTTTTTTTAATATTAAAACATAAACAACATTGATTAATTAAAATCATCGAGAATACTTGTAGCTAAATATGACACCCCAAAAGATATTGAGATATAAAAGCCCACTTATAACAAAGTATACCAGGGAGTATCAATTAAATATTTCTATTGAATCTTTTGCCCATTTCTTGCTCTCTGCTGATTAAGAAACCTGCAACCGTATTCAATTCCATTTTACTTGAAAATTTGATCTTTGTTCAAGTCCACTGCTAGCAGATATTGTCATTTCTTTAGTTTTCCCTCAATGTTTTTAAAACATGTTTGCTAGGGAGAGGAGAACAAAGCATTCTTTATAAGGGTTTCCTTCGTTCCCCTCTCTAACTGACGTGGGATCTCACAATCCATCCCCTTCGGGGTGAGCGTCGACATTTGTTCCCCTCTCCAATCGATGTGGGATCTCACAAGATATTTGCATCTTTGGTGCTTATCTCAATTTCCAAGTCTACAACTTTGTTATGTCATCTATAACTATAATTGATACCGTTAATTTAGGACAGTCGTCTGAGTTAGTACCGTCAGTTTTCATAACCTAGCAAACAGCTATCCAGAACTAAGTTACTAGTTTTCTTTGGGTTTCTTCAATCATAAACAGGCTGTAGCATATTATTATCATGGATTGATACTTGACGAGGGAAACACAGAGAAAGCCCATGGGATGGCTGTAGCCGCATTGCAAGCCGCGGATGAATTCTTTAAAGAAAGTAAAAAGGCATGTGACGCATTTAACTCCGCTTCTCCATTATCAAGGTACTTTTGCTCTGTTTTTTCGCTGTTCTCTGTTAGCACTTTCGTAACGTGTTTCTAATTTTTCTATCTTTTTTAGAGGTCATATTATTTTGAAAAGTCAAAAGAATTTCCAACCAATGTCATTTATAAAGGTTTGCATTAATATATTTACACTCCTTTTATTTGATTTTCATACCATCAAATCTTTTGTTTAAATTTGGCTTTAAAACTTTATCTTTTCGTTGAAATTTTATATTTATGCTGTACAGAAATTTTAATCCTACTCAAAATTTTAAACCAGATTTGATATCATCTTTGCTTTAAATACACTTTGGATCTTCGAAATTTGAGATTAGTTTCTATTTCGTCTCTAAATATTTTAAACTATCCCCTTTGGTTCTTGAGAGTTGGATTTACTTTCATTTGATGCTAAATATTAAATTAGCTTTCATGCGGCCCTAAGAGTTTTCATTTAGTTTTCATTTGGCCCTTTAGATTTCTATTTAAAGTGACGTTTGGTTTTTGTTTTCAAAGTTTCAAATTGATTTCTAATTATCCTTGAAGATTGAAATTAGTTTCTAATTAATCCCAAATATAAAAAATAAAATATATGTAGGTCAGTTAATGTCAACTTTACTATGGACCTTTTAGAAACCAATTATGGACCTTTTAGAAACCAACTTTGAATTTGAGGGACTAATTAGTAATTAAATTCAGATTTTGGGTACCAACATAAATAGAAACCAAATTTAGACCTTTTAGAAACCAATTATGGACCTTTTAGAAACCAATTTTGAATTTGAGGGGCTAATTAGAAATTAAATTCAAAATTTGACCCAACATGTCACTTTTAAAACCTCAAGAATCTAATAGAAACCAAATTTAAATCTAATGGACCAAAAATGTTAGTTTTAAGAAGACAATGTTTTACCCAAACAATTTTTATCCAATGCAATGCATAATTTTGTAGCACTCAAAAGTCATTACTTATTTTGAACATGAGAGAGACTAAATATAATGATGAAAATTGTTTTTATAACGATTGCATTTCCCATGCAGAAATCCGCCACTTTTTGGAACCATGAAGTATCTATCAGAAAAGATTCCAAAAGATGCTTCAAGTAAAGTACGGATAAACCGCGACTTGTACTCTTTCCAAAAGTAAGTTTCCGTTGAACAGAAAAACTTCATTTTACCTCTTTTTTAGTTAAAAGAAACCAAGCCATCATTTTGCATTGTAAATTAACCAATTAACCAATTACAGAATCGTTGAAACTGCACCAACGTTGCCCGATTTTGCCCTTGCCCTGAAGCCAGATGAATTCCAGCTTCCTGCGGTGGATCCCTCATTCCATGAGGAGAATATAAACAGAGGACAAATTGCCACTAAACAATTAAGGGGAGATCAAAGATAAGATATTGTGCACACGTTTATACAGGACTGAACCGAAGTGATGCTCAAAACGGTGTGTAATTCCAAGGGAAGGCTCGTCATTCTTCAATTGTGTGTATCCATAAGTCCTGTCTTTAAGTTCCCCTTTTCCATTTTTTACTTAATAAATTCATGTTTAGTTTGTATCTTGCAAGAAGAGTTCCAAGTTTCTCCAAAATAAAACATACTTTAAATTTTGTGTCTAATAATTTTTTAATATATTTAAAAAATTTAAACATTTTCTGGTCTATTACATATAAGAGCCTAAATTTTGAATAAGATCAAGAAAAGCTAAAAAATCTAGATACAAAACCCATAGGACCTAAAATTGAAAGTTTTAAATGGCCAAGCAAACACCTTTTAAAATTAGAACCTCAAATCTCAAAATTCAACAAGTAATGATCAAATAGATAAACATAAAAGTTTAGGACTAAACTAATAATTTAATCTATGTTTTCTCTATAAAAAAAACCATAAAATATATTTGATATTTTCTTTAGAAGCAAAAAAAAAAAAATATATATATTAACAAAGAATAGTCAGAAAGATTATAAAGGAACACAAATTAACGAGTAAGAGTAGAAAAGTTTGATAAAAGTTCTAAATAGAAGGGAAGAAAATTCTCTGAAGAAAATTTTGAAGTGAGAAAAATAGAAAAGTGAGGGAAAAAAAAAAAAACAAATTTTAGAGAGGGAAATATGTTAAATAGGAAAACTGGTAATGTGTCCAGAAGAAAGTAACATTTTGATAGCATAAACCTAATTTTTTTAACTCATCCTTTGGAAAGAAGGAGAAAATAATAAAATAAAATAAAACGTGCGTCCGATTTCAAAAATATGTTTAAAAATAAAACTGAAAATAGACAACTTCATCAAACAGTCAACTATCATATAAGCACCTTGTATTTCCATCTGAAGTCATCTGGAAATTGGTTGCTGCCCCAACACAACATATGCAACGAACCGTGAAACGTTTGCAAACGTCTAACTGAAATCATATGCGAAGTTAATGTGCAAAAAACAGCATATAATGTTGATAAATAATAAGGCAGTGTAGATAAATTACAGATCAGTATCCAGTATGAGACACACCAAGGGGCGTAAATTAGTCAAATGGACACCACATAAGCAAACAATAGATAAACTAAAGATTTGCAGCCAAGAAAGATAAAAAAAGGTCACAGAAAAACTGACCCTATGAGCCAAGTAACGCCCAGTTTTCTTCAATGATATACTTTTCATAGCATATCGGACTGTAACATTTGAGAGCTCAAGACTCGTGTGGCATACTATCCCTCTGTACCATTTTGGTCATCATCTCCTTCAGCTGACTGCTTCTGCTTTTCCTGTTCCTCTACAAGAAATTGAACAAGAAGAAAGTTCATAAAGCCAAGCAAGCACGGAGCTCAAACATTCTGTAACTTCAGAGTTCTACCATTTTTATGATTCATTATAATAATTAGTCTTGTAATAAGGGGAATCCTGCATCAACTTGAACATAACCAAGTGTATAAGACATGTCAGTTAAAGATTTAGTTTCAAATTCTTTACCTTATATTTGTGATATAATGTTCTTTTGAAAATAATTAAATAACACGCTACCGGCCAACTAAAAGATGTTACAATCTTTGCTATAGCTTTCAATATCTTCATGAGTTACTCAGTATATATAATGTTCAAGATTAGAGGGTTATGGTTTAAACTGGCTCCATTCTACTCCAAGCACCACCACTTCCCTCGATACCTAGAAACCCCCCAACTTCAGGCTAAAACTGAGATTGAAGACTCTTAAATCATAAGACCCGCAATTGATGACCAAATACAAAAAAGAAAATTGTAAGAAGCGTCTGCAGACCAAATACTCTAAATTAACCTTACAGAATTAAAATAACTCCAACAATATATTTTATTTCAATAATTCTTTAATCTATATCTGCAATGATTTTCTAAGTTGAAAAAAGGTCAGAGTAAAAGGTTGCAACCCATATTTCAGTATGCATGTTTGTATTGAATACGTCTGCTTGCATGATGATAATAAAAAACTCTTGATTGTATACATGTTGAGAAGCAAGAAAATTTGTTCGTAAGTTCAACATAATATATATATATATATATATATATATATATATATATATATATACATTGAACCCTGAAGCAGGACCAACAAACAAAAATGATATTATATATATGCTAATTGACTGTAGATATCAGACAAACAAAGCAAATAAATTTCAATTTGTTAAGTCCAGTAACACTACCAAATGAAGCAAGTGAAAAGAATGAGAATAGAAAAGTGAGTTATCAAGTTAGCATAGACCTCAAATCCAATATTTCTACTCACCCATAAGCTTATATAATGCTTTCTGAGTACGTCTTTCAAGCTTATCAAGCTTCTTCTGCACGTCCCTTCTGAGGTCCCAGTTTGGTTTTTTTGGAGCAATATTCACAAATGGGTCCTATAATTTTGCCGATGGAATTTAGTTAACAGATTAATATCCAAAAATAGGCCAGTTAAAACACACACACACACACACATATATAAGCCAAACTGACAAAATGACCTCTTTTAATTGTGGAGGTTCAGTAGCAACAGGGTCCTCAAACTTAGGCAATACAGGCGGGGCAAGCTTACCCTCTTGGAGCTCCTTGTCATGAGGAACATAGTTCCGAAATTTCATACCAAGATTACTGAGAAAGGATAATGTAATAGTGAATCAAGAAAAAAAATGAACTCCCCTGTATTTTGTACTCATAGCAAGAGGGAAGAGGTACTTAACATGTATACGTCAATTTTTCAAATGAGTTGGCAATGACATCAAACTAAACAGATATTTAATGTATAAACGAATGTCATTTATATAGTAACAGATTTTCCCCTTGCAAGGGACAAATCATATTGAAACATTTCGAAGGTAACCACCAAATATATCCTAAAAGATAAAAAAAGCTTAGTTATGCTGTATGTCGCCATCATTCACATCACATTATCATCATCCTAAACTCTACAAGCACAAATGTTATTAGAACTAGACACACACACACAAAAAAAAAAAAAAAAAAAAAAAAA